CTCAGGTCCTAGACAGCACTTGTGCACATGCATAGGATGGGAGAACTCACATGTGCTTAAGTGTTTTGCAGGATCAGGACCCGAGACACATGATATCAGACACAGTGACAGGCCTATGGTTTCTTAATGAGCAAGTCTTTCCCGAAGTCTACTAGGGATTTCATTATTGATCCTGATGTTATGTGGAAGGCGCTCTGATACTATCGCAATAAGTAGCAGTATAAAGCCCCAAGACTAATGACTCTCTCCACAGAAAGTTGAGAGGGTTCATTCACAACTTATGCACAGAAATAAGGACTTGACTCATATAAACAACTCTGGCTAGTGCAACCGGCTTCAGTCACCTCGGTCTCTCTCTCTCTCTCTCTTGTTTTTTTTTTAGGAAGCAACAAATGAACTCAAAGTGGCAGCTAGCAACACCTTAGTGACCCTGGCACGCTGCTATTTCTATGAGGTGATGTACGAGCTGCAGTGTCGTCTGAAACTACTGGGGCTGCCTGAAGAGTTTACTTTCATTACACTGGGCAACCTGTCATCAGCCTATGGTATGGTAACTTCCATCTTTTGTTTCAAAGTTATTGTCTTTCATTTAAGGACAGGGGATTACTCTCTCTACCTAAAAATGTTACAGCTAAACAGAGCTCTGTTTGAGTGTGTGCATGAGGGTGTGTGTGGGGAGAGACACAAGATTAACTGCTGTTGCTAGTTCTTGGCTTCCAGATCATGAACTATCCAGACGGAGGTGCAAGCTCTAACTTATGTCCCTGACTGAAGTTCCTTAAGGATCGGATGGGGGAAGGTCAGGTCTAGTGGAGCTCTTCTCCACCCCACTTCCCATCCCGCCCCAGTGCTCTCTCCCCTTACTCTGGGAGTGAGTTGGGCATCAGGCACAGCTGTACACTGGTGGAGGATTCCCCTCCTCAGGGTGAATCCCCCACTGGCTTTCAATGGCTGCTTTAAAGCCATTCTGCTCTGCTTACGCAGCACAAAATGTCCTCGGAGCCCATAGCATCCTGCCCCACGGTGTTTCTAAGTGTGTTGTAAGAAGGCGGAGAGCAGCTGATTATTTTTCTTCCTTCTCTTCTGGCCTTTTTCTGCAGCACTTAAGTGTATCCCTTATGTGGGAATGACCCTGAAGCGCATGTTCTCCATGTTGGGGTTAGTCAAGGACAGCAGGCTGAGACAAGCATTTTGTGGTGGTAAGTGCAGCACTTACTGGAGGTGCCCAAAATGGATATTGAGGGGGTCTTGGTACAGATTGAAGTGACTGACCAAGTTTGCAAACAGGCCCTGAACTGTGCTCCCTGCCCTGGATTGCACCAAGTGCTGCATTCCTTGGCTCCCGTGCCACTCAGTGAAGTTGAGAGTGCTCCGTACTTTGCAGGAGGCGCTGAGCATTTGTAAGTTCAGGCCCTTTATGACTCATGGATATCATTTAAAATAAACACACACAAAGGCTGAAGCTGCCCATCTGCCAGGAGGCTCCTGGGGGAGGAGGTGAAGGGAGCAGTTTTCATTACTGAACATCTAAAAATCCCCTGTTTCCCGCTCCTCCACCCATTCTCTCTCCTTAGTTTCTTTATCATCTCCTTTCACGCTCTTTCTCTATCTTCTCTTCCTCTCCACTTCTCTCTTCCTTTGCTTTTCAGGTGATGCTCAGTAAGGGGTTAATCCTGTGCCTTTGAGGTAACTGGGAATTTTGCCATCAACTTCATAGAGAACAGGATTGGGGCCTAATTCTTCTTAGCAAGGACACTAGATACACCAACTTTTAGGGCAAAGTGCTCCCCAATACCTTCAAATCCCAGTAAAGCAAATGGATGTTAGGGGCACTGAACATCTTTCAGAAAAACTGTAACTCAAGATGAAATCATACAGTGTTAGGGTTAACTGAACAATAACTGCAGAGGACGCGAGTCATTCAGAGGAGAGCTGGTTGAAATATTTTGATTTTTAATTCTATTTTCCATAATTTTTCTTTCCAAATTTGATGAAAAACAAACCTGAAAAATGTCAATGACAATTTTGATCGGGAAGTGTGCAGCCAGTGTTTTGGAGCAGCTAAAGAGGTGGCTGCATTTTTTTGATTTTTGAAAAATATCAATGATTTTTATACTTTGCAATTTTGAAAAAAACAAAAACCTATCAGTAAAGATTTTTAATGTAATTTAAACTGCTTTTTCAACCAGCTCTAATTAAGAGGTAACAAGGAAGGGAGAAAAAATTTGTCTTCAAATGATGGTAATTGAAAAAAGATTGAGAGAGATGCAAATGTAAAAGCCTTTTCAGAAACAAGACATGGAATGGGGGGAAGAGAAATAGCTCAGAATTGATATGGGATTTCAGCGTGTAGTCCTGAACTAAGCAGTAGCTGCCATGGAATTGTAGTAAACTTTAGGCCTGGGTGAGTTCACTGATAAAGCAACTTCTCCTCGTTACTAATATGTCCTTTTCACATTGCCCGTCTTCTCTCCTTCCATACAGTTCTGGAAAAATGGTCAAGGGCAATAAATCTATATTTGTCTAACTGGGATAAGAACACATTCCCCAGCATGGGTACATTGCGATTCTTCGATACAATTCTTCCATTCTATTGTCATGTGACCAGCAACTGGCTGCAATGTGAGGAGCTGAAGGTGAGAATTGCTGATTTTCTAAACCTTTAGCAGAAATTGTAATGTTAAATTCTATGTGTCTGTCACTCTCTGTGATGATGGCATTTAATGGTAGGTCCTTTTGGATGGACCAGAGTGTCATGTAAAACATCTAAAACCCATATATTTATAATGTCACCACATCATGGAAATTCTGTCTGTACACAGTGTACATAGCTTCTAGTTTTATGCACCTAATGTGCAGATGAACACGGGATAGTGGGCTAGATTAATTCCTGGTATAAGTCCATTCACCCCAGAGGAATGACAGCAGTTTTGAGTTGGCTGAGAATGCGTTCTAATCTGGGGAATATTTTCCCTGGTATAGCTGTGAAGTGCA